TTTGTGTGTGTGTGTGTGTGTGTGTGTGTGTGTGTGTGTGTGTGTGTGTGTGTGTGTGTGTGTGTGTCGATAAACATAGAACAGGTTTAATAAATGTATCACATTTTAATTACTCGAACGACCTTAATAAAAGGAAAGCTCAAAGTTATTATTGATACATATATCAATATATGTAAAACTTGCTTGCTTATATTTAAAATAATAAAATCTATTTAAATTTGAATTTTTATATCCGAAACATTGCATTTAAACAGATATTTAAATTTATAACTGTTATAACTTAAATATCGATTTTTAAGGAAAGTACAGCTAATAAATATAAATTTAGAATTTTATTAGCGCATTTAATATAACGAATATTACATAGAAGTTTAATAAATTAATGATATTATTATTAATGCATCAAATTAATTATATTATTTAATAACTTATTTTATTATATATTAATTATTATATTATATTATTTATTTATTATATTATTTAATAACTTATTAATATTTAAATTAAAATTTTATATTAGTCTTATATATCACATATGTTCTTGTTACGTAAGAAGCAATCAAAAACGTTTCGTAATGTCAATTACTATGAAGTATTAATCTTCGATGATTTTACTACTTAATATATAAATATAGTATCAAAGATATATATATTTTTTTTCCTTTGTAATTCATTATTTTTTTATGCTCATAAAACATAAAATGTATCAAATCACTTATTTAACAAAAAACAAACACTTATTTTAACAAAAAAGAATAGACATTATCAAAATTTATTGGAAACATTTTTGAATATTTAACAAAATTTGGTATTTTTATTCTGATTTTATCAAATATATTTGGTAATTTTAATATTATTAAAATCATTGTGCTGCAACAGTGTAATTTGTTAAAGAAATATATTAATATATTAATATATTAATATATTAATTAAAAATCTTACCATTTAGATACCACAATGCGTTTTAAAAAAATCAAATTGATCGATTGCCGGTATTAACATTTATATATTGTATCATGATAAGTATTCTTGGATTAATTATCGGTCTCTGCGATTAAGCAGTTGTAATAAATAGCTCGACAATTATTCCACAGGTACGCGCGAAAGTTCCACGTTTTAATCGTAACTGACAGCGGCCGCTCTTCATAATGTTTGATTCCTTCTTTTTTCTGACTTCGTTTCGTTTACCTCGGCACAACGAAACGGAAATGAAATGGACCACCATGGTCACAAGAACAAAGCACCGGAAATTAAGAATCTCTGTCCACCATCTTGTCCCTTTCCTTCTCCCCTCTCCCGTTTCTCTCCTCTCTCCCTCTCGCCCCTTCTGGCCGGATGAGTTTTCTTATTTTCAAACGGCAAACGGGTATCTCGATTAACTCTCCATAAACCATGCGCTCTTGAAATTATTGCAGCCGCACCGCCATCATGTCGGATGATGTATCTTAACATAACCGGTGGTGGGAAAGGTCCGACATACGCAAATCGCCTCGATCAGATTCGCATGCAAACTCATTTACTACAATAACAGCGGCGCCTTCTCTCTTCACTGTCTATCTTCTTTTTTCCCCTTTGTGACGCCGACCGTCAAATAATAAAAATAATTATAATTATAAGTCGGCATGTCCAGACGTGATCAAGTGAGTGCCCCGTCAGTTTGCTCGATTTATGCTCGCAGTATTACCATGTCAAAGTACACATTGACTTTATAATGTCCCCATTCTTGGAAAATTGCATTGCACGAGATACAATAACATCGAATATGCAAATCCGATCTTCCCGGATGCGGTTTGATGACTAATAAAAAGCTTTCAATCAACAATGAAACTGCCCTCTTACCTGTCGCAGATGGTATAATAAAGTTTCCACGTTTGTCTTGTATAATAACGTAAATGTATTTCGCGGGATGGAAGCACGTTGGTCGATGTGCGGTGTTACCGCGAATTATCTTGTCAGACCAATAAATATAATAATGATCTGAATGAGTCACAACAGTTATGGAATTTTTCTGAAATCAGTCCTGCGTGACGATAAACGTTTTAACCTTTTCTACAATTGATCACAAGTCATTAAAACGCTCATTCCCAGTTCACTGCGCATTGATCTTCAACCATGATGTGCTTAATAATAACTTTGAAAGTGGAATTTATCTGGGAGATGTACGGTTTGGAAAAAATTCTCGCTCAAAGGACAATGATAGATCACTTCAATTCTGAAGAGATAATTGTAACAATCTGATGATAATCGTGTTGTTGCAAACAAAATTTGATTTGTTTACAATCCAGTTAGTTAGTAAAAATGCGGAAGACGCGCATCTCGATATTAATACGAATGTCATCAACGAAGGCCAGTGTGCTACCGGAAGAAGTTACGTATTCTACATTCGCGACGTGTAGTGAGTGCAATGGTAAAGGCAGAAACCCAAAAGGAATATTAATTACTTTAGCGATAGTAACCTTGATGGAAGAGTTCCTGAAACTCTGTCGATCTGGATTACAGATTGTCATATGAATATTTCTAAAAATATATTTTATTTGAAGTTATTGAAATATATTTTATTTATAAATGCCATAATTTATTTTTTTTATTATTAAAAAAGGCTTAAAATTAATACTAAATAAATGTTAAATTTTTAATTTAGGTTTGCCCAAATGACAATTAAATCTTTATTCGAAAATATTAAAAATTATAAATTATTTATCCCGAAACGAGAATATATCTCACATATATATATAATTCCATATATTTATTTCAATTTATTGTTGATATTTAGTTTACCTTTAAAAAATAACATTAAGTTTACATTAAGCTTACATTAAGGTAAAAAATGCACAGCTAATAAGAATAAAATTTTTTTACGTTGTTCTTTCCATAGTAATTTGTTTCCAGTTTTGAGGGACATCAACATGATTTAGATTTGAAAAGAAAAACTCACCATTTACTTATACATTGTAATTAATTATTTATTTTGTTATAACGTTTTACTGCAATATTTTATATAGAGTTGCATGATTCATTGCTTGAGTAATGAAATAATCATGCTATTTTATCAAGTATAGAATCCTATGTTATCGGTAGATACTCTACCTTTCATTAAAAACAGTTGTATAATATTGAAAAATAAATTTTATTTATATTTAAACATATGACTTTATATATCTTAATCATATGAAATATTATGGAATATGTACAAAAGTATGGAATATGTACAAAGCAATGAATTGATAAATTATAACTAATACGTAAATAAGTAATACTAATAATACAATTACACTTTTTAAGTATTTACAGCCAAGTAAATAAAGATATTATATACTAATTTAATTTATCGTAAAGACATATTATATAATTTGTCTAATTTTGCTTCAAAATGTATAATGTTTTTTCCTTTAAAATTATAACTTTGAAACTATATATTTACATATCAATTATCTAATCGCATATCTTATCCGGATGACTTTGTAATTTTAAAAAGCGTACCACTGCTCTTTTTAAAAATAGATATAATAAAAATGGAGAATGTCCATGTCATGTAGAGAGTATTAATTAGTAACTGTACGCTTAGACGATAACAATCGCTCACAGTTTTCTCTTTAAAAAATTACGGTAGCACAAAAAGGAATTCACAGAGTACAAGATCATTCTTACAGATTCTGCAAAATAATTTCTAAAACCCCGCTGTTGTTCCTTGTCGGCGATAATCTGAGTTTGCCATTATAAGTCCGTTCTCTTTAGACACAGCTGTAATTGCGCTGCCAATTCCACTAAAAGTGGTAACGTTGTGTCCAATTTTCTTCAGGTAATCTAACGTGACTTGGCAGAAATCTTTCTCGTTCTGAATATTCATCGGGAATAACTGTAATTTTTCAAGTAACTTTTTCAAAAAAATTTGTTATTACTATGACTAATAAGTATTTTTCGTTTACACGTAATGTTTGAATTGAAGGCAGTTGCCTTATTAATATTCCTTAATGAAAACTGGATTTTTTCACAAATTGAATATAAATAATTTCTAGATTATAACTAATCATACATGGAATACATGGAAAGATTTTAGATTTTAGCAAATGAGATTTAAAAAATCCTTTTAATATTAATCTGAAAAATATATTTTAATAAATTTGAAATATTAACCATTAATATAGTATTTTATAATCTTTCCAATTCTAGATTTAAATATATAAAATATAAAATTTAATTTGTTCAAATTTTATTAAATAACAATAACGAAAACTCTAATAATGCGTAAATGCAATTGCTTCTTCATGAGAATTATTTTTTTCTTCAATTATTTATACCACTCGAACTCACTTGATGATGAAGTCTACGTGCATCAATCGCTTCCTTTATGTCGTAACCAAACCAGAGATTCAAGAGCATCCCAATCGCCACGCCGCTCGTGATCTTCGTGCCACCGGCTGCGCCAATCACTAATCTCACGTCGCCCTTGTGATCAACCTGAAAGAGATCGCACGATTGATTTAAATGAGCTTAAATTAACCGTTCGAGACTCGTGAGACGTTTTGTTCATTATTTGAAAAAAGGAGCGTTTTAAAAGAAGAATTTCGACGACTTCTCTATCGCCCCTCGAAATGCGCGAAAAGTATAGGCGGCAGCAGATGGAGAGTCGCTTCGACGATCGCGTGACGACGATCGCGAATTGCAATTACATCATTGAGTCGAGCGATTCTCGGAATCGATGCCTATCTCGCGATGGTTAATTGCAAACTCATTGTAGCCGTTTCATTAGACGTGTTTCCCAACAACGTACGTGAGAGACGGCGCGCGCCGAGCGGCGCGACTGTTTTATTACGCGAGTTATTTCCCCGAGTTTCGAGCCTCCGGTGAATTTGTCGACGGTTCACGGCTCGCGGTGAAAATGGCTTACCACTATAGTCGGGCACATCGAACTCAACGGCCGTTTGCCGGGTCGAATAAAGTTCGCCGGTGACGGCGGCAGCCCGAAGCCGTTAGTAATGTTGGGTGAGCTGAAGTCGTCCATCTCGTCGTTAAATATTATACCGGTGGACTTGGACCGTATCATCGCGCCCAATCTGTTAAATAAAGATCCTTACAAAGGAACGAAACACCCGGCATATTATTCGCCGCGGGATTTTATCGCCGTTCGCCGTTCAGCGCGCGCGCTGAATCGTTCCATTTTTAAAATAGATATATATATAAACTTGCCGCTTTCAAAACGAAAACGTCGAGCGTATCGCGGAAGTGAAGTGACTCAATCGGTCCTCTCCTCCTCTCGGTTTTTTTTTTTTTTTTTTTTTTACCGCGTCGATATTGCGCGCGACGGGAGTATTATGATAAAAATTATAACAAAATTTTTGTTACCGCGGAATGTTGACATTATCACGAAAATTCCGATATTTTTATTTCAAAATATTATACATAACGTTTATTATATATAACGTTTTATATTTTACAAACAGGCTATCGTAATTGTTTGAATAATGTAAACAGTTTAAAACAAATCTGCGCGACGCTATAAAGATTTAACAACAACACGTACAATGGACTTTTTATTAAAATTAAATTTAAAAAAAATCATATATTTACTATATATATATATTTTCTGCTAAAAACATGAGACGTAAAACGGTGAACAAACGATTTTATCCGATATTGGTCGCAAAATATTATCTCGAATATTAATCGAGAACAATAATTAATTGCTTTCGGGATTTAATTGTCGGTAAGTCGCGGCTCGGGCGTTCGATTTACTTGGCCATTTGCGAATTTACTTACACCTGATTGATGGTCGACGTGACGGAGACCGCGGATCCGTCAGGCGCGAGGACGGAAACATGCGCGGTTCCTGAATCCACGCTCGTCGCGACGACGGCGCCGTAGTGCCTCGGGTCCTCACTCGTGCGATCGTCCTTAATCCTGCCCTTTATCATTTCCGCGTAATCATCGGATGTTAAATTGGTGAGCAGCGCGTCTACAAAGAAATAATTCCATCGTATTAAATACTCCCCTTAGATTAGCGGGGTCGAGAGGAGGAAATTCGAGGAAATTACGCTCGAGAAAATCGCACGGGAATTCAGATACTAAGCCTTCACGGTAAATCTCGCTTTTTGCCTTACGTGATGATATACAAGGTAACAATTAGGAGATACAGACGCGTTTGCCTCGTCAATTCTCAGAAAAACGTGTCATATCGTCATATTTAAACCAAGAAAAGATTTATATATGTACACATGTATGTATACAGAATTATTTGCTTCCTCCTTTTCTTGATTAATATATTATCGTGACGTACGTCGATTGTCAGCGCAAGAAAAATTATCATTATTTACAGAAGTTCTTTTATTAAAAAAAAAAAAAAAAGCCGTCAAGATTATTTTGATGCCTGAATGAACGCGATAACTTAACGTCCATTAATTTTACACTTAGTAATTATCACTTCCCTAATAATTCTTACAATATTGATGATGTGGTATTATTAAATATGTCTCTTAATATTTCTTGAAAAATACTAAAAACCATCGTTAAAATCACCGTTTCACAGGCTCACCTATGCCCTCGACGAAATCAGGATCCCCCAGCTCTGTTCTCCTTGCGTAAGCCCACTTGAAGGTCTCCACTATACGTTGCCACATAACATTTTCATTGCCGACCGGCAGCAGGCGACGAATGACGTTCATTATAAACATCAAAATTGCGCCTGAGCCCGGCGGCGGCGCGCTGAAAATTGTCAGGTTTCCCATTTTCAACTCGACCGGCTTTCTCCATATGGCTCTGCGAAATATATATTTGGGCATTATCAATACGTGACTCTCGCACGATATCGTAATTTGACGCGCATTCGATATCACTTGTCATCGGCTTCATCATCGTAACTCGTAAAGATGAAGAAAGAGAAACTTAATATTTATTTTATTACTGTGTATTTTGTATTTGATGACGAAATCAACACGATAATCTAATCTATCCACATTTTTAGCAGCTTTAGATCGATCGAACTGTAAATAATGATGTTTGAAATTATTCCAACCAACGGCTCTCTTTCTCTTTCTCTCTCTCTCTGATATTTACTCATGTTTAATTAATCGTTTCAACAGCGGTTGTCTCTCAATATTAAGAATGATCATTTTGTTGTTATATTCTAACTGTAATATTCTAACTGTAATGAATTATTAATTATTTTAAAGTATTTTTTATTATCATTTTAGCAGACTGTGAGTGGCATTTTATCTATTAAATTAGCCGTTTCTTTTTTTATATGCTCTCGTAAAACCTTAATTGCTCCGAGGAAATAAGTTTATAATTGCTTTTGGTCTATCTTATCTGTAATAGGAAGCTTTGCGCTTTACAAATGTTCAAAAACATTTGAGAATAAATATCTCAGAGGTAGAAAAACGCTCACCTGTACGCTTGAAAATCCTGTCTCGTGATTATTCCGTCAAATTGCTTTAGCTCGTCGACTAATTTGTCAGTAATACTGCCATTGTAAAATACGCCGGGACCGTCCCTCGCTATCAATTCCAACGTTTCCGCCAGTTTCGGTCTCTTTATTCGATCTCCCGCCTGCAAGTGTTTCTCTATTTATTCCAGTAATTTTCCTTTTCCTTAGGTGCCTTATATACCGGATAAAGTAATTTTGATCCGAAATGAAAAGGATAAGAAGGCTCTGGGAAACGAAAAGCAGGGTGTTACTCACGATCCACGTCCTATTGGTAGCGGGGTTAATGAGTATCTCGGCCAGACTGCTCTCGTTCTTTATCACGGGCTCCTTCTCGAGCAGATACGCGGCGAGATAATCGTTGACGCGTGATCCATTTTTGCACAATTCAATGGCGGGCTCGAATAACTCAGCCCACTTCAATTTCCCGTATCTTTGATGGGCCATCCAATAGCCCATAAGCTCACCCGGTACGGCAACTGCCAAGCCACCTGTTCGACAGTGCATAGATCTCGCTTGTTTACATCGGCCCGGGAATCATTCCCGCTATTGTTACGCGTGAGCAAAAATAACGAGGCGTTCTTTAATTAATCGATCGTTATGTCACGTCCGACGTTATGTAACACCGCGACAGCGGCTTTTATAAACGACTCGAACGTAAATGCACATCCCTCGGCTAAGCTTTACTGTAAAAAAAAAAAGAGAAAAATCCTACCATACATGGCCAAATGAGCATTGCCATCGAACATGTCCTCTGTCGCGGCCATCGGGGCGGTCTCCCTCGCGTCCAGATAATCCGCCGTTTTGCTCTTCGCGTCCCATATCGTCATGAGAAATCCACCGCCCAATCCCATGCTTAAAATCAAATGTAGAAGCATTTCGCTCGCTGTATATTTCGCTTGGCAAATTAATTGAGTCTTACTCGAGTCGAGAAGCGGGTTCTCTGAATGGGAGAAAGAAAAAAAGAGTGGAAAAACAGAAAGTTACAGGTTTTACCTATGCAAGGAGGCGATGCCTTCACAAAGAAGTGCAGCTATCGTCGCATCTACTGCCGAACCGTTCCTAGATAAGATGTCAGCACCAATTCTTGAACATTCCTGACCGTTTGTCGTCACGGCGCCCTGCTCACAAATATTTTAATAATAGTGAGAAAAAAGCTTTGTTTTTCCTCCTCTCAAATGTATTACTTATATCGAATATATTACAACACGTTGTATTTCATGCGCTTCTTCCTTTCATACATAACAAAATTTTATGCAAGTATTTGTATTGAGAGAATAATAATTTTAAAATAAAGCAGCTATTAAAATAACAACGTTCCGATAAAAATATATTTTTGGAATAAACATAGGTAGCATTATTTTTATCGTTTATTATTCTACTATTTAATATTAAATTAAATTTTTTTATTAATTAATTTTCTGTTTTTGTTGGCACGGAAAATATAATGTATTTTTTACAATTATTTTTGTCCATATTTCGATTGCACGAATAAATAAGGATTCAATGTTTTTGTCCTATATATATTAATAAAATGGAAATACATCTTTATTTCATTATAATTTAATAAATCTAAATTTTTATACTCGTCTATTAATAAGTATTACCTTTTTATAACGACCCAATTCAGAAGAACTGATAAACTTGGGTCCGCATTTAACATCTGAATTGTGTGTGAAGATTACAATTAATATTACGAAAACAGCCACAAGTATAACCACTGTCACACCGAATGCAAGCAGCTTTTTCCTTTTCACTCTGCAAAATATGTAGAAACAGATATTAAAAATTAGAATTTTATATTGTTTTTGTAACGATATGAGAATTGATTTGATGGAGATAACCGCGCTCATTTTACAAAAATTCATGATTGAATGTTCTGGCAGGATGACCACATTGTAACACAATTCCTAAATTTAAACATTGCAAATTTAATCGCAACTCGCGTGACATTTGACATATAATTTTTATGTAAAATCCGCGTGGCGTTTAACATATGAAGAAATTTTTATTTTTACTATTTCTGCCGCATCGATTTTATGCTGCGTATAAATTAAAATCCATACATAATGTTACATAATAAAAAAACCTAATCAAAAAATGTGAAATCAAGTTGTGCAGACTACAATACTCTTTCATAGGAAATTGATAATCATGATGATTGCGATCATCAAATTATTACGCGATTGATGAAAAAGATCAGCTGCACAACAGTGATCATAAAATAAAAATCGGTGATGCTGCGAGCCTCTGCCGGTTAAAATCTCGTGATCTACGCTCCAATGGTTTGCCATGACCGCATTTGCACCTGCGTCACCGTTGTAAAGTCAATGACAGTAAAATACAATTATAATAGCACGATGACGTTACACAGCATAAAATATAATTTTGCGTTGATCGTTGAAGATAATCATACACAATTTATTTTACAGAAAGCATTATAACGGTGCATATAATTTTATGCGATAATATAAAATTTTGAAATAAATTACAAATAAAAATTTATTTACAAATAATCAAAATTCAAATTATGTTTATGTTAATTAAAATATAAATTTATATTTAGGTATAATAATTAAGGTCGAATGTATATAATCGACAATTGTTCGCGATGATGAAGCTTTTTGAAGTTATCTTATAGCCATTATCCACAACCATTGTTTACATATGATAAGATTCAAAAGTTTATATAATTAAGCGTAGATATGCATCGCTTGGAAAATATCAACGAGCATCAACAATACTGTGTTAGTGCCACATTTACTGATATGACGACGTTGACTCAAGAACGTGATCCAGTTATCATCGTGTAATCACAGATTTACACATGCAGAAGACATTTACTCTGCAATCCGCTGAGATTGCGTAACACGTGTACACATTATTCAATACATTCCCACACCATACGGACCTCTCTCCTCTCTCTCTCCTCTTCTGTCTTAGAGTCAAATTATTACGATATCTATCAATTTCGAGATATATTACTTGAAATATGATTCTAAAATTAAAGTGATACAATAAGAATTTTATCCCATAATTGCTTAATTATTCAGACTTGATTATACCATTGTATGTAAATGCACGTCTGTAAATAGTAATTATTAGATCTTATCAGTCTATCAATTCCTTTATAAACGTGCAATAAAGATACGACTTTAATGAATTAATGAGGTAGATGTCTCGTATTGATAAAATAAGAAAACAAAGTTTTTTATTTCATCGATCAGAATCAGATATAAATTAAATAAATATTTTATTTTATTATTAAACATTTTACTCAACATTATCGAATAACACAGACCATCTTGTTCAAATAATACATTTCTTTTTTAAATAATCATGATTTAGAGAATTTACGTTGAGTATTCAAGAAAATGCACTTATCATGATGAATTTACAAGTATTTGCATTTAAGAAACAAATTGTGCTTTTTCATGATTCTTATGTAACACTTTAAACTTAAACTAAATAATATTTACTTAATTACGAGCTAATTACATATAAGTGAAAAATTTTAACTATCCAACATAATGTAATTGACATTTATTTGCGTTATTTAAAACATTTCTATCTGTTATGTATGTAGTATGTTATTATTTGATATAGTTTACGTAACAAAATAGTCAATAAACGATAAATTGTAAACTATTGGTAAGATTTGCAAAAAAATATACTTAATAGAAATGTATAAGTATAATAAATTAAGACAAATTAATATTGGAATTTTTATTAAAACTTGCTTTATACAAAATGTATCATTTTTATGTGATTAAAAATTTTTATAAAGGAGATATTTTTTAAAAAGCTTAAAAATAATTTAAGGATAATTAAAATAATACACGTATATGATTTGTATAAAAAATGATCAGAATATTGCAAAACTGTCGATAATTTAACAAATTAAGAAAAAGTAAAAAAAATTTTTTTTTAAATGCTTTAAAACGTGTTCTCATATTCCTGACAAAGATGCACTATTTACGCAAAAAAATTATGACTGCGAGTTTATCTAGCCAGTTAAATACTTTTGCAATTGTAATAGAAATGTTATACAGTTAACAGCGATCGTTTCACGATAAACGTAACCGATGCAATATTATTGGCATGATCAGAAATTAAGAAATTAAATTTCCATTTTTAATAATTATAATATTACTTAATTTTATTTAAAGATATTGTTGCATACGCAAACGATAATTGCATTTACGCACACGTGATGCTTACGATTCTACATGCGATTGCAACATACGGCATATTAGTTGCACGTGATTACACTACCGCTAATTACTTGAGTCAAGCAATCTCATTGTCGCTTGTTAACGTATAATGTCTCTGGAAACCTCTAGAAAATTATCAATTTTTATTTTACTTTATATTTTACTTTATATTTATTATACTTCTCCTAAAAATTTTGAAAAAATGAGTGACATGGTAAAAGTTATTTTTAATAAAAAATAATTGTTATTAAACAAAGCAAAGCAACATAATTTGAAAATTAAATTCCTCTCTTCCGTACAACATTTCCTACATGACATTTTGTAACAACTTTTTGTTACAAACAAATAAAAGCTGTGATGTGTTTTCCCACGTTATCTGTATTAACAGAAATTAACACAATAAAACAAATAAAAAGTAGGATGTATTTCATTGTATATAATTAGATATTTCTCAATTTTCTAATTAGAATATTTGTAAAAAGATTTGCATATCTCTTCAAACTTAACAAAAATAAACATTTGGCGAGTATAGGAATATTTCTAAAATACCAAGTCAAGTACGATTGTAATCAGCGCATTAACTATTTGCCGCCGTTTGTTTTATCTATCTTAAAAATGTTTATTTTTAAACATTTTTCCGTATTGCATTTATTTTTTTGAATATATCAATTTACATGTAAATTATAGCGAAAGATTCAGAAAATGTATCAGATAAGTACTCAAATTATATTGAGTAATTAATTATATCGAAGAACTGCACTTCACAGCAGCACATTTGCTCGCAAGTGTGCACAAATATATGTTGCGACACATATCTACATTATTTTAAGCATCACAAATTTTACAAATTACAAAAATAAAATGTATTTCACAGTGTCAGTTTCAATCGTCGCAGCTACAAAAACGATCTTTCGCGGAGCTACGCTTTCACTCGCGTTATACGTCGAATTTACATTAATTTTTAATAGCCGAGCGACGTAAAAAGACCATTATTTCAATAAACAAAATTTATGCAAAGATGATGTCAACACAGGCATTTTTTTGTAACCTGGCACACCTTCGTGTAACGATAAAAAAAAAAGGAAATTATACCGACCCGATCATGTTGCACAGGCGAACGGCAACGGCAACGAGTATGACAGAGGCGACCAGCCTTGACTAAACGTTTCTCTAAGGCTATCGTTTCTCTTATAAGAGCAACGATACCGTTTCTATCTATTCATCCCCACTCGCTCGAGTGAATTTCCGGAAGCCAAAACGAACACGCGTATAATTTATATTGGCTTTTCCTTTTCATTTCCACACGTCATTCCCGCTTCTACGTTTCTCATTTCACGTGTAAAAGTTCGGAATCATTATCGAGCAACGAGTCGAAGCTGACATTCTTATTGAAAATTAATGCAAATAATGCAATGAAATTAAAAACAAAACACAACGTCTGCAGTTATATCTTGAACTTATAACCTTGAAAAAATATTGGCCAAGTGCAGTTGTTTTATATTTTTTTATGCGTTCTATGCATTTACTCATTTTCATATATATGTAACACACACACACACACAC